GGGGAAGGGAAAGGGGAAGGGAAAGGGAAAGGGAAAGGGAAAGGGAAGGGGAAGGGGAAGGGGAAGGGGTGGAGGGGAAGGGGAAGGGGAAGGGGACGGGGAAGGGAAAGGGAAAGGGAAAGGGAAAGGGAAAGGGAAGGGGAAAGGAACGGAATGGAAAGGAAGCTTACCTCAACTTGTTGATGTTGCTTTATTGTAGGCGCCTGTCTTGCGAACGGTCCCGGTCTGAAGATGTTTGGACCGGGCTTTGGTGTCGCCTGCTTTGTCCTTCTCCTTCTTCTTGGTGGGTTGCTGAACCCTTGGGCCTTTGGGCCCTGACTTCGGTCCTTTGTTCTCCTTGTTAGTTCTTTTTTTGGAAAGGGAGTTGACGCCCTTTGGTTATGCATGTTGTTTTGGACAACTTGCATGTTCAGCTAAAGACCGCAGTGCATTTCTGTGATGTGACTGGCTTTCCAGTGGTGGCACTGCGGTTGTTGGATTTTTGCTGGCGACAGCTTGCAACAGCTTGCGCTGCGCCAGCCACAGATGGAATGGGAGCACGGTGCAGCTCTCTTTGAAGTGGAAACGTCCACATCCGGGACCTTTGCCGCCCAATGACATTTATATATGAGCGTCCAGCTGCTGAGCCTGAGCTCAGGAAGCTGAAAGCACTTTGCAGTGTCTTTAGCAAACACCACCGGAAACACCGACCAACAGCTGCAGTGGATGATGCTCGTCGAGTAGCCATTTCGCAGCAGTGGTCGGCGGCCATCATGTCAGTGCCTCAAGCGTCAGCAGTAGGACGCACCGCCCTCAAGGAACAGCGTGTGCCGCGGTTCAGACATTGTGTCCATGAAGTCCACTATAACATTGCGAGAATTCATGTTAACGTACACTTTCCTTTCTGCGAACAGACCATGTACCAGTACGTCAAGCACTTAGCTGACAAACAGGCTGCCGCCAGTTCTATGCAATCATATGTCGAGGCCGTGCGCTTCACATGGCCTTGTTTGATGTTGAGGGAGGTCCGACAGTCAACAAGCGCATTTCTGGCTTGGCAGCTATAATGTTCATTGACAGTGCGCCTATGAAGCAGGCGCCAGCGCTGACCGCATGTTTGCGTCGGCGCTTCACCAGTACAGGATCGACTCTTAGCAGGGTCCATGCTTGTCCGACTCTATGCGCGCTGCAGAGTTGGAGATGGGCAAAGAGCCGAGTCGGAAACAGAAGTTTATTGGTGGTCGCCACCATTTTTTCTCGTCGGGTCTTTCTTGGTTCCATGCGTGGGTGGACGCGGGCGCAGAACTTGGCGACTTGACCGTTACAGGGCAATTGCAGCGCCTTTTTGCCTTCCGACAGCTTTTAGCGATTTCTCCTACAGAGGGGGAGCCATTCTTCGAGAATTCCGGGCAAATCAATCAAGACCAATTCTTGAACATATTGAAGACCTGCTTCAACGACGAAAATGTGACCATTGGGCCTCAAAGCAAATTGCGACGAGTTGTCTTTAAGGCCCATCACTTTTACAGTGCAATTCAAAGAGTGGGGGAAATGGGTGGATCCAGCGACCACACTGAATCAGCCCGCATGCCTGCCCAGGAATGTGATCGTACAGCGAGAGAGGCTCAAGGGGGTTCTTATTCGCGCATTGCGTATTGCGTGGTGGACAAGTTCACCAAAATGGCGTGCCTACACTTTGTGCCCTTGCACACTTGTGTCAGTCACGAAGATGAAATGGGCAGCATCAAAAGCGCCAAGCAGCTGCTCACTTTGGAAAAAATCAGCCCGTTCTCAAATCCAAGGGAGTGACGGGGCATATAGATCTTGGGTCTGAGCTTTAGACCGCACTGCATTTCTGTGATGTGACTGGTTTTCCAGTGGTGGCACCGGCCCGCACGCCTCCCTAGAACTAGGAGGCGTTATTCCCCTCTGATGTTCTGTCTTGGCCATGTTGGTGATCTTTGCAACACAGATCCGTGGGCCTCATACCCCCAGCTTGCCGGTCTATGATTTAGGAAAAAGAGAGCGCGGTTTGGAGAGTGGATGGGCGTCTTGGTTGATTCCATTGTCATTGTTTTGGGGAAGTCTTAACCATGCAGGCCATTGGGCCTCCTTTCCATGGGAAAAGAAAGGACAGGAAAGGACAGGACAGGAGAGGAGAGGAAAGGAAAGCAAAGGACAGGAAAGGAAAAGACAGCACAACACAGCAGAGGAGAGGAGAGGAGAGGAGAGGAGAGGGGAGAGGAGAGGAGAGGAGAGGGGAGGGGAGGGGAGGGGAGGAGAGGAGAGGAGAGGAGAGGAGGAGAGGAGAGGAGAGGAGAGGAACGGAACGGAAGGGAAGGGAAGGGAAGGGCAGGGAAAGGAAAGGAAAGGAAAGAAGGAAGCCAGGGAGGGAGTAAGGAAGGAAGACTACGGAGCTGGCAGTTCCCAGGGGTCCGGGGCACGGATTTTCCGTGCGTTGCTGCCGCATACGTTCCCGTACAACCCCCCACATACCGAAGCCAAGGGATGTGGGGTGTGCAGGCCTGGACCGTGAGTCGCGGCATAGAAACGTACGGCTTCACCACCAGTGAAAATGCACCGTTTCACCAGTAGTTTCCATGCATGTGGGTGTGGAGGCGCTGCGCCCTCTCGCAACCCTCCCCCCGCGCAGCGAAATCTGCACAATGTATCCTTACTCCACTGCCTGCCACGAAATCAACATTCTAATCATTCCATTATTTGCATGTCCCTAACCACTATACCTATCGTACCTACCCAACCTTGCCCAATCCTACCCAACATTTTGTTTCCTACCCATCTTCAACAAAGCTTTAACAACTGCGAGCAGCAGAGGCCTAACAATGTTTTGGCCGGGTTCTGAATTGTGTTTGGTGTGCCCACTCTACCCTACCCGTACCTTCCCACCGACCTGCTCGAGGTCTTGTTTTGTTTTTGATCCGTTTTGCAACTGAATGAACGCCTTTCTCTGCTACCTTCCCGCTCCTGACACTCAAGTTTTGTTTTTGATTCCTATTTGTTAATTCCTTTAAAAAGGAATGCACAAATGCACACATTGGACGATCAAGACTTGTTTGTGTTGTTCCCTGCATAAGTATTTATATATATATGCCTTCCTGCCAAACAATGGGCCTTTTGTCAAGGCCCTTGACTCAACTTTTTTTGATGAATGCTTGACTCTGTTTAGGCAATGGTTTTCGGCCTCACGATCTGGGCATCATGCTACTTGTTGGAAATCATTGAAGGTTCGTAGGATAGGTAGCGTTGTTGAGATTATTTAATGCGAGATGCCAACTTGAGTCTGAGGCATCATTTCTTCACCGTGCAACGAATGGCGGGGCTTCACCTTGCAGCCCAAGGAGAAGAAGTCTTTTGGCTCGGGAGGATCTCACCAACAATTATTGCGAAAAACAGGGACATAGACCAACTTTGGCTGGTCAATCTATTGTAATCTTGCTTCACATATATATATATATATAATATATACAAGCAGCCCATTGAGTTCAATGTGGAAGTGGCTGATTCTGGTCTTGTGAGTATCAAGGCTACCCTTCAGTGAGTACTTCAAGCCCATCAACTATGCTCGATCTACAGGACACAAGCTACATCACGTAATATTCATTTAAGGGCATGTTGCTGTCTTCGCCGTTGCTGTTGCATCAGCGGCAGCAGGAATTGGCTCCGCCATCATGGGCATTGCTCTCATGATTGGCATGTTAGTCACACCCTATGCAGAAGAGTCATTTGGGCCCTTGGACGGCAGAAAGCCAAATCTTCTCTTGGGAAAGGTTGTAGGATGAAGATTCGCGAGGGATTTGCTAAAAGACAAGGTACTTGAAGGAGCACACTGCAGTCGCCCTGGGTATCGTTGCTGTCGTTGTGATTGGCATTGTTGCGCTCTCGAAGTCCGCTGCTCAAATGGACGCAGTTGGCTTCGTTTGCAGTATTTGCAGTTCAATCTTGCAAGACCGGGCGCAGTTGGCAATGCAATCTTGAAGAAGTTGAAGTTAGGTGAGCATGGACTATGCAAATGATGTGCACAGGCGCGGGTTGGAGTTTGGTTGCCTTTGTGAAGTTGGTTTGTTGCCAAGGTGAAACCCGCAGTCTCTGCGGTCCATCCAAGTTGGGATACAGTTTTCTGAGCGAGCCAACATCAGCGTTTTTGCAAAAAGGTGTTGCCTTGTGCGTGGGCTAATCGGCAAGCGCAAACAGTTGCCTGGACGGATTGTCATGGAGGGTTGGGAAAGATATACTCAGTTGCGTTGGGCCAGCCAGTTCAGTGAGTTGCATCATGGCTGGTGACTCTTGATGATCGAGGGATTCAGAATATAGGCAAATACTTGTCTGTAGGACATATTTGTTTGTAGGACAAACCAAAGCCACCAGCCGCTGCAGATCGTGAAACCGCCCGGATATTTCGTATCACCACACGTGGCCACAGACGGCAAGAAATCATCAGCCACGGATTACTATTTCAACGCCGCATGTAGATTTCGCGAGGTATCTTCGGAAATGACAACGAAGGTCAGCGCAGATCGCTGAAGAGCCCACTGGAGATTATGCCGAATCGCGAGAACATATTCTTATCCCAACTGCTGTGAAAGCTGGATTGTCAATTCACCCGTGATTGGTGATCCAGACAAGAATACAAGCAAGACCATGTCAAATACATCGCCAGCCACCTGCAAAAGGGCTTCTTTTGGGCGCATGGCGCATGAAGCCCAACAGCGCGCAATCTCTTCAGAAAGGCAGCCGTACAAGAACAACAAGGCTGCATCATCAGTTATCATTGGAAATGGCTTGGCAAAACAAGAACCTCCTGTCAGGAAGAAGGTCTTTAAACTCAAATATCCAAGACGTTTCATTAATTCTTTGTATGCCGAGATGCTTTTGGTTCAGAAGGTGTACTGTATGTGCGTTTGCAACAGAGCCATTGTGATGAGATGTTCATTCCAACGCCGGGTAACTTTGATCCCATGCGAATAGTGAGGATTATTATCCCATGATAGGTCAAGCAGGTTTTCATGATGATAATATATTTTCGGCTGTTTGGGCCAATGAAGCTCCGTGCGGGGTTACTTCTTGTATTGGTATTGTTGGGCAGATGCACTTGGAGTGCATCATGGCTGGCAACCTGGAAGCCAAAACGACAGGATTGCCTTGTTATTCGGCATGGTTCTGAAGATGTGTCGAAGCGTTTGGCACGCGCTTCCACTCCGCGAGTGAGGGAAACAAAAGAGGCTGCTGATGAAGGATCGATATCTGGTGCAGTTGGTGGAGCAGTACTTGGTGGTTTACTTTTGGGACCATTTGGAGCCATTTTTGGAGCAAACTTGGGATCTGAATGGGGCAGACGTGGCGGCAGCCGGATAGAGCAGGATATCGATGAAGATATCGTTAAACTTGCTCAGTTGGCTGGCCGTGAACTTGCGGATGCTATGGACAGCAAGATGCGCGTTGAGGAAATCAAGGACTCCTTGGCTGCAAAGGTGGTGAGACTTGACACTGAAGTGGAGGAACTGACGAGCAGAGCAAGTGAAGCGCTCAAGGCTGATGACGAGGCAGCTGCACGCCTTTTCCTAGAGAGAAATATCCAGTGCAGCAGTCTTTGGAGTCCAGCAAACGTAAGTTGGAAGATACGTTGATGCGGGTTTCTACCATCAATGCAAACGTGGAGAAACTTGAAAAACAAGCTTTGGCGATCTCGTCCCTACTGGAGAGGGCGCAAGAGGCCACCGGAGCAGAGCGCACAGCCTTGAAGGCTGAGGCATCCGCTTTCAGCGTGAAAGATCCTTTACTCGACAAGTTTGATCGGTTGTAGTGTAGTTGTAGACTGCTGTAGTCTGGCCTTTATGCCGCGAAGGGCGGTTGTTGGGATGAAACAGTTGCACCAGCAGACCTGCGTGAGGACAGAAACAGACAGCGGGCCTCCAACCTAAGAGCGATGGCCTCGAACCTAAGAGCAATGGTCTCCAACCTATCAGCGATTCAGCGATGGCCTTCAACCTACTAAAATAGTCTATTGATCATGTTGTCAAATAACATGTTCAGGCAGTTCAGGCCCATCAGCTTCAATGGTGAACATCGCAGACGTCTAGCATGTGTCCGCCCAGCAAAGGAAAGCTGCCCCAGAGAAGCCGTTCATGCCAGACAGTCTGGTGGGCTTTTTCATGCAAGACAGTCAGGTCTTGGGAAATTCGGGTTTGTTTGCTCGTGTAGATGACGGCTTGACAAGTACGATGTCTACCTGTAATGCATGTACATAGTTGTGACAATGAGTGTGATACTGGATCTAATCTATCCCATAGTGACGAAACAGTGATTGAGATGGCGGGTGCCAGTGCAGATGATGATCCATTGCAGCATCCCCTCGTGGATGGATTCTCAGAGCATAGTGATTCCTAATTATCCCCTTTTGTCAACAAGATTCAACATTCATTGCTGCGTTTCTATGAAACTGTATATGTAATTCCAATGGGCACAAATGAAATGCAGGGTTCTGGGCAGCATAAACGCCTGCAGTACCGTAATCATTTGTGTTCGTGCCCAGGTTGCCATGCGGGCCTTATTGCGTGCCGAGAGTCTCAGTTGTCCGAATGAACGTGTTGATGATGACGCAGCACAATTGTCAAGGCAATGCGTGGCCAAAGTGGTCCTTGCGTGCGAAGAACTTTGAAAGATGCAGCAATCCTGGCGTCCAGTGGGCTGAAAATTTGTTCAACCACGATCAAACCACGTTGAATAAACAAGAATTGCTGTCACACCTGACATTCCGCCAGGCATGCAGCCGCCAGCAGTGGATCACTTGGTTGGTGGCCCCAGCTGCTGAACCTTGTGGTGTGCAATCAGAAACCAAGATATTTGCATTGGTCATTAGCCGTCAAAAGACCACAGAAGCACCAGACACTTTAGACATTGTGTACTTATTTTGCAGCTTTGCCGATGTTAGGTATGCATGATGCAGCAGCAAAGCATCGTGAGGAGCTGGAGGACAAGCTGGAGGCAAGCCTATGTTCACGATACAACCATTCCTTTGCGGCAAATATTAGAACAACCAACACTGCAAGCTGAGGCTGTTGATGCCTCAGGCAAGGTCCTGATTTGGCGGAAACACAATGGCATTCCATCATATTCCATCCATGCTGTACTGCTCAGATCCCCTCTCCGAGCTCAAGCTTGTTTGGGTAAAGCTCTCATACGCACCAGAAATCACTCAAACCTGCTGCAACCCCCACTAGCCTGCCTCATCTAGCTCTTGCCTGAGGACACCATACTATTGCACCGTGACTCTCCTCAAGAAGAAGGCTTGGATGTGGAGGAAGTGGAGGACAGGTTTTCAGCGCGGCTTGAGTCTGTTTTTATAAAGTCTTTTCTGAACAGGAGTTGGTGTTGGCCCACTTGGTGGCCTTTCCCGATTTTCTTGCCGATGATTTGGTTGAAGCCTCACATGTTCGAATATTTCCATCACCATTATTGCTCCCTTGCCGTGGGTCAGGTCATGAACCTTTTTCGGCAGGCCAAGTGAGTTGTGCACCCTTGGAAAGTCAGCCGCCGTTTGCGAAACTGAAGGTTCAGCTTGGGCAAGGCTTTCTTCACGCAGAGAAGCAGCACATCAATGTCCAAAACCCAGCCAAGACTGCTACCCAGTGTCGTAAGGCTTCCAGTTTGAATAGTCATTGGTTGTCATGGATCGCCAGTTGCGCTGTGAGGAAATAGAAGAGGTAGGAGTAGGAGTAGAGGTTGGAGTAAAACATTTGCGCACACCCCTATCCAAAAGCAGTCTGAACAAGCGTGAACCCACTTGCCTTTTCAAACAAAACATGGCATGTGCGGCTGTGGATCCCAGGGAGTGTACTTCACCGCTATTCTGGGTTTGCACTTGTCAACCTTCACTTTTATGTAGATCGAAGGCGCTTGCAAGAGGCTGATTCTTTTTCCAAATGGTGTGGGGGCAGTTCAGTCTTATGACTCAGGTACTGCTAATCCCATGCGAAATGGGAGTGTGTGTAAAACAGCTTTGAATTGACGCACCCTAGATGTCGAGTCGCCCGTGCTTTAGCTTACCATTGAAACTTCGACCATTGTTGCCAAACTGAGGCCATAATACGGTGTTTGGTATTGCTTTTCTCCATACAGTAAGTCTCACAGCATCCCCTTGAGCACCTTTGCCGTGCTTCGATGTTTTCCAATACACAAAGCATTTGGAGCTCCATCTTGGTTCATTCTTCTAATTGCAGGTTGCTACCCTACTGGAGCAGATGAAACCACGTTTGGACAGGCACAAGGCAGTTTCTCTTGGAAACCATGCTTGCAATACTTAGTTTTGCCTGTGACTAGTTTACCTAGTTGACACCAACATCACGTTTATAAGATGAAATTCAGAGGTTTACCCATTGGGCCGTTGGTCAAGAATCAAACGACCAAAACTCTGGGGAGCATGCTTGGGAATACTATTCTATCCTGTTGCACTCTGGATATGGGCTTGACTTGACCGGATGACTGGCCTTTTTGCGGTGTACACTTTGCTCATAAATTTTTGCTCATAAGCACTGCTGCAGGTGACTGCATTGAACATAGCAAGAGAGTGCTTAGCCTGAACTAGTTTCCTGAAACAAAACATGCAACAGCAATTATGAACTTATTGCCTAAGGTGCTGTACCCACCTGCAGACGCACTCCGAGACTTTGGCATCAAAACTGCACCTCTGACGAATGATTTGTGAGTTAAAAAGTAACATTCCCAGTCAACCTGTGCTTCAGGCTTCCCCATTGTCATCCTTTGCTTTGCCTGCCATTCCAGGTTGCTGCGAATGGATTTGGACGGTGCACAGTCCCCAGCAGTGCATCTCCTGCGTCGTCTCAACAAAATGTGTCTACGGCACGAGACAAAGTGATTCTTCGAAGGATGGCTATATCGGAGAAGATGACTTTCTTAAATGCCTAGTTCATGCCCTTGCTGTGGAGGCAGAGGGTTTTAGGAACTAAATTTGCAGTTTCGGGATTGAACCTCTTCAGACTCTTCAGGTCGAAAATCTGGCCATCTCAGCAGGGGTACAGCCACTCTTGCCCTGACTTTGATTTCGCACAAAACAGCTTTAGGCTTTTTGTTTTTCTCTCTCTCTCTCTCTTTTTGTGCCAGGCAGCTGCTAAAGGAAGAGGGCTTTGCGGATGAGTTTCACCAGGCGATAGAGAAGACTCCCAGCGAACAGTACAGGTTGGTTTGATCGATTTATTTCGGTATTTTTGATGCTCCACAACCTGTGCATCAGCAGTTTGTGTGCCAGGCTGTGTGGGACTTGTTAGTTGCAGGGGATCATTTGCAAGCTTAAAGCTGGATCAAATGGTGCGCTTGCAAGTGATTGATGCTCCTTTCTCGATTTGCTCCAATAGTATTTGCACCTGACTCACCTGACCACATTTTCGACTTTGAAAGGGAACCTGCATAACCTCGATGCACACAACAAGGCTACAAAGCTTGCTGTATGATTTCCCTCTAGAAGAGTCTTCTTGTTTTTTTTTTCTCTCTCTCTCTCTCTCCAGATAATGCCACTTGCATCTTGGAACGCCCCTCAAGATATATGTTTGGCTCCAGCCTCCAGCATAAGATGAACCTTCTTGGAATCCAAGGGAACGCTGAACATATAGGAATCTTACATACTTGTACTGGAAAAACTCTGTCAGAGCTACTTGAAAGAACAAGCTTTCTTCCAGCTACTTGAGTGATTTTTGTCTCAGTCTCACCCTGCAATGCGTCCATGCAGTTCCACCAGCTTCAGAATCTTGGCAAACAGATCTCAAAACGCAAGATGATAACTGCAGGTCGTGCCAGGATTTGCAGATTGTATTTTGATGTCAGGATTCCCACACCTTGTACAAAGCGATCCATGGATGAGGAGCAGTCTGCGTCCTAGGCTTGGCATGGTGCCACTAAAGCCAAGCACAAGGCTGCAAGGCCCAACAATTTAGCTTTTAGCTTTCCAGACTTTCCGCCCAGTTGGAATGCGTTGTTTAAAGGCTGTGCCTTCGACTCCACAAGCGGCTACGAATTGGAAGTCCTTCGGCTCACACTCGTGGCTACTCGCAGGCAGGGCTGGACTCTTCCACAAGGAGAGCGTGTGATGTACGCAGCTCAAAGGCGAACAGTTTCCTACAGCAGCTTCACACAGAGCAAATGTCAAGGTGCCAACTGTCGCTTTGCAATTGTTGCACATATTGATCCTTGCACTGAATGAATGTGTGCGACTGCTTTCGGCTGAAAACCAGACGGCAGCACTTGCGACGGCCTTCCAATGATGCAAGTATGAGCAACCAGGCAAGACAAGGAACATGTTGAGACAGAAATGGTGAAATGTGGACTCATTGATCTGGAGGCGTTTACTGCAAGTGGACATGCTGCTGTCTCAGACTTCGGGGCAATGCACCTTGGCCCTGCGTAGGTTGTATCTTGGGGCTTTCTTTGAGTCTTTGAAGAACTGCCTGTCACCGAGGTTGTCATCGCTTCACATGGTTCGATTAGTCATTAGCGTTTGTATGCAGTGTTATAGAAGCAAAGTTTGGCTATTATTATGTAGCGTTCATGAGAGTCAAAGAGGAGTCAAGACGCCAGCGGCTTCTGTTTTTGTTCTTTTTTTCCCCAGCGAAGCTCACGGGTTTTCAGCCATAGTAGAGACTATGGAGCAGATCAGAGCAGGCCCTGGATCAGGTTCCAGAGCAAGTTCTGGAGCAGGTTCCTGGGCAGGTTCCAAAAGAGGTTGCCTAGGCGGTTCCGAAACAGGTTTTGGTGGATAGTCTTGCGGATGCGCTGACGTGGTGTCATGTTCGTGTGTTGTATCCATGCTGTCACGCTGACGTGTAGACACGCTGACATGAATTGTGTTGTCATGCTGATGTGCTGGCGTGGTGGCACGCCGACGTGTGTCAGGCAATCAGTTGTCATGCTGGCCCCTTGGCCCGATGCTGAAGTCGGGTCATGCTGTCGTGCTGGCTAGCTTGCCACCAGCATTGGTTCCGCTGGTTCTTGCGTGTTCCGCCGTTGTCGTGCTTGCACATCTGTGGGTACATGTGCTTGGTCTGCTCACATGGCACACTTGAATACAGCAGTGTATGGCACAGACAGCGCTTGTTGGTCAACTTGCCATGTTGCCATTGCCTAATAGGCCCAGCTGTTGGGGATTTTTCTTGGGTTGACTTCTATTTTGTCGATCCCAGGACTCATTTTGTGCTTGGGGACGTAGCTCAGCTGCACTGGTGTGCCACCTGTGTCCGGTCAAAGGATTGTCCGCCTGTTGTACCAAGGTGGTGCAGTGCTCACATGGAGCAATGGGTCGATGTTTGCAATGCACCGGTCGCCTCGTGCAAAACGTTTCTCGTCTCGGACTTCTGCGTCACCAAGCAGAAGCAGTAGCAAAAGAAAGGAAACAATAGCAAAACTTGTAACTCTTGCAGGTTCCATTGCAATTATACAGTGATTGGTGCGGAGCTTTCAGGCAGTGTTTGGACAGTCTCTGCATGTGTTGTCTCTGAGAAAACTTCCCCTGCTGGCGTCAACTGCTGCATCAGCTCACCTGCTTCATCTTCAACGACACCCCAGCGACTTCAGGGGGGGAACTCTGTCAGGCCAAGTGTCAATTGACGGCAACAACACTTTGCAAACGGAAGTGGCAATCTGCCTTTTGATCTTCATTTTTTTGTGCCAAAGCCTTCTAAAACCTTTCAAGCCTGAACAGTTTTCTGCAAGGGAACTGACTTTTCCTTCAATGGCCGCACTGATTGCCTGCTTGAGCCCAGAGCCGGGTGAGAGGCGAGTTTGATCGAGCTTTCAGCACATTGCCCCTGAAGTCAAAGTTGTCACCCAAGCAATATCAATATCAAGGGACTTGAATTTGTTTTTTCTCTTCAGGCACGTCGCAATCTCTGAGGATTGTAGAGTCGGGCATTCTAGGAAATGTCTGTCTTCCCAAGGCAGACTTTTCAGCAGGGCACATGGCACATGTTGTAGGGCAGTGTTTGGGCTGCTGTTTTTTTGTACTTTTGTATTTTTCAACGGCAGGAAGAACAGAACCGAATCCCAAAAAGGATGCCTGGATGTACTTGAAAGTGTCTTGGAATGGAGTGGCTAGGAGAAGCCAGAATCGGACTTTTGAGTATGGCGAATCAGAAGACCAACACAGAAGGTGACCTGAAGCAGCGCGGCTACAGGAGATTTGCAAACAACGCCAGCCTCTTGTGATCCGTACCCCTCGGCAATCCAAAGTCAAAGGGAACCGCCAGCATTTTATCTCACCGGGGGCCGGGGGTTCTTAAACTTGATACCACTGTAGGCTAGGATCCCATGCCCCAAAGTTCCAAAGCATGCAAGGTTTGTAGAACCTTCAGAGAAGGGGTCATACAATTGTGGTATGAAGTGGTGATGTGGGTGTTGGTCTTGTTTGTACAATAACCTTTTCGTGCTTTCGCACTGTATTTTCTGTATTATTTTTGATTGACTACAATACATGCAATACGATGCAATATGGTAGTTTCGAGTTCACTTCAATCGAATACGATACAGTACACTAGTATAAACCACAATGCCATACAACGCAGTGGAGAACAAGAGACATATAATTACGCATGGCGCATTGCAGACATCGGCGAATGGAAGTTGGACGCCTTCAAACATGTACAAATTCAAGACGGACATGATGTAATTACAACACGTGCAAGAGTCCAACTTAATCGAAGACGATACAGCACATTATATAGTATACTGCAATGCGCTAGAATGCTGTGGATACAGTGCAAAAGCAGGAACCACAGTGTCATACAATATATCGTAGTGGGTTAACACATAACACATGGTAGTTTGCAGGCATTGTTGAATAAAACTTGGGCCCTCTTGAAAACGTGCAATTTCAAGGGTAATTGTGAAGATTGTGCCACAATCTTGATCTGTGGCGCGTTGCTTTCGGTTCATTGGGCGAATAGGGCCCTTGAGTCACAGGCAATCACGTGAAAAGACACTGCACTGCATGTCACGACCCCCTCCGTGTTTCGTTCGTGTTCCTGACTTCGAGCGCAGGTTCCACAAGGCTTAGGTTTTCACACCCAAGCTTTCACATTGGTAGCGGAGCCGCCAAAGGCGGCTTTGCACCGGTGCCGACGCCATGCCCACCGCTTCTGAAGAGAAGCAACCGGAATCCGCTAGCTCTGACAAGTTCTTTGTCCCAAAGTTCGACAACACTACGGTTGGGTACAAGGAGTGGAGGAAAAGGATTCAGTTGTATGCCCACCGACAGAAACTCCAAGGCAGATCTCGTGAGACAGCCCTGAACGTGTTGTCAGTTCTGGAAGGAGCCGCATGGCGGCAATGCGAAGATCTGGAACTGTCGGAATTAGAAAGAGAAGATGGAATCCAAACAATCCTTCGCAGGTTGGACGCTCAGTGGCAGTATGATGAGCGTGTCGAGATGCCCGAGGCCTTTGAGAAGTTTTTCTTTCGGCTGGTGAGGAAGCAAGGACAGTCATTGTTGGATTTTTGCAGCGAGTTCAATCAGGCCTTGAGAGAGCTGAAGAAGTTCAAGATTGAACTCCCACAGGAAGTGTCAGGTTGGCTCATGCTCCGTCGCGCAGCATTGTCCAAAGAACAACAGTTGATGATTCAGACACATATCGGTACAACATTGACCCTCACAGCCGTTGAGCCAGCATTGTATCTTATTTTGGGCCAGGATCACAAGCATGCACATGTGCCTCAACGCCGGAATCCGTTACAGCAGCAGCAGGGACGATGGAAACCTCGCCAACTCGTCCATGCAGTTGTGGATGAGGAGCCTGAGGACAGTGCAGCATGGGATCAACTGGATCAAACCTACTATGAAGCAGAAGATGTCACTGAGGACTGGTTTGATGATCCCGATGATACATACTGGCAGGAAGACGACGAGGCCTTCTTCTACGATGCCATGAGTGTTGACGACAGTTCACTGTTCGATACTGAAGATTTCGATCAGGTCTATGCTGCATACACGGATGCCAAGCAAAGGATGCAGCAGCTCAGGCAGAGCAGGGGATTTTACCCTGTTGTTGCCATGGTGGATCAACGACAGATGCCCCTCGGTTCATCGACAACCCCGAGGTCGCCGAGTCCACCATCAGGGAAGAAAGGAAAAGGAAAGAAGTCAAAAGGAAAGTCAACATCCTCATCGTCAAGCGGAAAAGGTCCAACAGGAAAAGCAAGAGCCAAAGATGCCATGGCAGGAATGCCAGAGACAAGAACATGTTTGCGCTGTGGCAAAGTGGGTCATCTTGCGGCCAATTGTCAGACCAAGACAGGATCCCCCAAGAAGAGAGTTCTCGAAGATGGAGATCCCCTTCTGGCTGGTATGGTGTTCCATCAAGAGCACCTTCAGTTTGAGGATGCAGTTGAGGATTTGGAGCAGCCAGTGTTTTATGACGCTGAGGAGGCCTATGCCCAGGGTGAACAACTCGTGAGGGCAGGAGGCTGGTTGACTGAGAGAGCCGATACAGCGATCCAGGACCAAGGAGCAAGCAGCTTTTTGATGGGTACAGAGTATTTGCTCAGGTACATTCGTTGGTTGGCAGCAAAAGGGTTCGATGTGTCTCAGCTGGAGTTCAAACGTTGCGACAAGGCCTTCCGTTTTGGAGGAGATGCTGAGGGCCACTCTCGCTGGATGATCTCTCTCCCGGTGCTCATTGAGGGTGTCCCTGGAAGGATCCAGTCCTATGTGATCTTTGGTGCAACTCCAATGTTGTTAGGCCGACCTGTCCTGGAGAAGCTGCAGACCATCGTTGACTTCGGTGACAACCGCATGCGCATCATGGGAGGGCCATGGAAGGAGATCGAACGTGGCAAACAAGGAGCCATGTTGTTGCCCCTTTGCCAGAACCTCCATGAAGCGGACCAGCTGTCACAGCCAGTTTTCGACCTGAGAAGTGAAGACGACCACGCTGAATCAGCGACACTCCATGAGTTCCTGAAGGACCTCAACGCTGAGCAGCGCTACGAGGAGATGAAGTCTGAGGTTGAAGGCCTGGCAGATGATGGACCTCAGGCCGAAGAGAAAGAAGGAGTTGAGAAGACTATCGAAAGTCTCGAGAAGTTCTTCGTTTGCTGCGAACACCAGCTGCAAGAGATCAAGAAGAAGCAGAGTCAAATGCTTCAGGAGGCTAGACCTGAAGCTCGAAGACGCAAGCTGGTGTGGGAGGTCTACGCAGGGCGTGGACGAGTTTCAGAAGAGTGTGCAAGGAGTGGAGCGGAAGTGATGAGATTCGGGCTCGATGATGGCTGGGACTTCACGAAAGCCAAGCACAGGAGAGCACTTTTGAGCATGCAGCAGGAGCTGGAACCCGATGAAGTGTTCATCAGCCCCAAGTGCACTCTATGGAGCCCCATGCAGAACATCAACGTCCGCAATGAAGAAGATGCTCAAGCACTGCGTGAGAAGCAGTGGGAGGATCATGAAATCCACTTGAAGTTTGCCAGGCGACTCTACCTGCAGCAAGCCAAGCACGGGCGCCATGCCCACATCGAGCACCCAGCACCTTCCAAGGCCTGGTCAACACCGGCGTTCAAGTCGCTGCCCGGTATGCAAGTCACCTTTGACCAGTGTGCATATGGAGCTACTACCTGGACTGATGACGGCCAGTGGGCACCAATCAAGAAGTCCACAACTCTCAAGACAACCAAGCAGGCCATGGTTTGGCAAATGTCCAGGCGACGCTCAGGAGATCATGCGCACCATCCCTGGCCAAACACATTGCCAAGGCCATCATGGCTGATGAAGGGCTACACGAACAGGTCTATGCAGCTGGACAAGAAGAACAGCTGACGGGCATCCTGAGAAAGCTCGGAACCAAGCATGGCACTGAAGCCGTGCGGGTGGCATACCGCCTCCACCGCAACCTAGGCCATCCACGCACTGAGGTCTTGCTCAATCTTTTGAAGGACAAGCCATGCAATCCTAAGGTTGTGGATGCCATCAAAGACCTGGAATGTCCCTATTGCACGTCCTTTGCCATCAAGAAGACAGCAGCCCCAGCCCATCTCAACAGGGCGACGGAGTTCAATGTGAACGTCCAGTGCGATGTCATGTGGCTAGATCTCAACTCCCTGGAAGATCAAAAGGGAGACAAGAAGCAGAAGAAGGTTGGCATCATGGTCATGGTCGATGAAGCAACCAGATACATGATGGCCAGGACGATCGGTGAAGAACAAGCCACGACACTGCAGAAGGCGATGGAAAGGAGCTGGATCAAGCTTCATGGACCACCTCACAAGCTCTTTGTTGATGAACATCCAGCATTCGCCTCAGACAGTACAATGAAGTGGGCAGAGGAGCGCGGCATTGAGATGCGCATCAGCCCTGGCCAAAGTCACACAAGAACAAGTCTTGTGGAAAGAAGGCATCAACTGCTCAGGAAAAGCCTCCAGGTGTTCATGAAGGAACATGGCCTGAAAGACATCCATGGCGTACAAGACGCCCTCAACTGGGTGGTTCCTGCTCTCAATGACCACACCTTCGTGAATGGGTTCACTCCAACACAGCTGGCACTTGGCAGGCAGCCAAATCTTCCCGGGCTATTGTCCGGTGAGAGGACTACTATGAACCAGCTGAACATGGGAGAGCAGGAGAAACTCCACCGAAGACTCCAGCTGAAGCTCGAGGCTCAAGCAGCATGTGCCAAGGCCGAAGTGGATGTGAAGCTTCGTCGTGCGCTCTTGCGCAAGTTCGTGGGCCAAGATGAAGAGTTGAAGCCAGGTGAGAAATGCCTCTACTGGCGCGAAGCCCCAGATCGGCA